GGCACCGGCACGGAAGGGGGCGGGGCGGGCGGCGGCCGTGGCCGCGGCCTGCAGCAGTCGGAACGGGCCCCCGCGGCCGCGCTCGCTAACTCATCCCGGGCCCCGGGGGTCCTGGCGCCCGAAGGCTCTCAGCTCCCCCGCGCCGCCCGGGCTCCCCACATCCTCGCCTGGCAGCTGCAGCTCAGGGAGCGGCCCCGCCGCTAGGAGCCGCGACTCGGCGTTGCCTCGGTCCTCTCCATTCAGCACAGGTCTGGGAAGAAGCTCGTCGCAAACCCACCGCACCCCGGTGCCGTTACCTGCGCTCCCAGTGGCCCTGCGTTCTCCGTGTTCTCATCCTTACGCGGGCCCCGGGCGTCCCAGACCGGGCGACGCACCCTCGCCCCACTCCAGCGGCGACTGTCCTAACAACCAGCTACTGGCCCGCCGAGCGCCGCGGCCCCAAGCCCACACCCCTCCGGCCCGCCCCTTGGGCCGTCGGTTGGCGCTTCCTGGACGCGTCCGGAGATGCTCGGCCGTCTCTGCCCGCCGCCTATTGGGCCGCTTCGCTGTCGCTCAGGCTCAGTACCTACTTCCGCCGCGCCCCTCCCCTTCCGGTGAGGCGCGAGCAGAGCGAAGGAGGAACGTGGACGCCGATCTTCCCAGTAAGTCCTGTGCCGGGCGGTAGCGGTCCCCGTTGAAGCCCCCAGTGCTCAGGACCCAGGCTGGACTAGGTAGGTCCTGGTAGGAGAGGCAAGCGAAGCCCGCCGCCTTGGTCGGTAGACTTCAAGAGCTGGCTTCTCCCTTCCAGAAAGGGGCTCCCGCATGGCGGCTGCTGGGCCTGGAGGCACATGTTAGGGACACGTCAGCCTTCGGGACTGCTGATGGGTGGCGGTGCTTCGGAGGGGAAAAGTGAAACCAGGCTGCTGCGGTTCTCGGAGAGGGGACGGGGCGGGCCGTAGCTGGAACTGCCTCACCACGCCGCAAGCCAGGCGTGCCCAGGAGCTAACATGGAGGGAGAGGGTGCGAGGGGAGTCGGAAAAGAAACTAGCCGTGGCCGAGCTCTTTTCTGCTGAGGAAAATTGGACATCACACCACTACGTTTTAGTTTTGGGGCAACCGTGGGAAATTAAGCCGGAAAGGAACCCATTACAGGGAGCTGACTGTACTGGGCGTCCATGTGGTGCTGCTCTTGCTGTTTTTAAGAGTCTCATTCTATAAATGCTTCTGTTATGGAAGTATTCCAAAAAGTTGTGCCCTTACATGTGCCTTTACTCATAACGAAAATGAGTACTTGGTGGATTTATACGTTACTGATTTGTTACCTTCCTATAAATGTTTATAAAGCACTTGCTACTTTTCAAAACGTTTAACGTCTGCTGCTGTAAATATTTTACCAGTTCTCATCGTGAAGACAGCTCTACCGCAGAGATGGTCAACGTACCTAAAACCCGAAGAACTTTCTGTAAGAAGTGTGGAAAGCATCAGCCTCACAAAGTGACCCAGTATAAGAAGGGCAAGGATTCCCTATATGCCCAGGGAAAGAGGCGCTATGATCGAAAGCAGAGTGGCTACGGCGGGCAGACAAAGCCAATTTTCCGGAAGAAGGCTAAAACCACAAAGAAGATCGTGCTGAGACTTGAATGTGTTGAGCCCAACTGCAGATCCAAGAGGATGCTGGCTATTAAGAGATGCAAGCATTTTGAACTGGGAGGAGATAAGAAGAGAAAGGGCCAAGTGATCCAGTTCTAAGTTTTGGGAATCTTTGGTTCTTTGATTTTTGAGAGGAAGATGTTGAAGCTATAGAAAAATTGCCTGTATGAAAATAAATACAGTGATACCCTTACTCAGATCTTTTGTACTTTTTAAATATAAATAAAAATCGCATGCTTGGTTTGGTTTTAAATTAACAAAATAACGGTAAATTATTTAAGGTTCATCCTCTTCTCAAAGTCTCATTTAAATTTAGTTCCACAAGAATTGGAATTTTGTATTTATATGCAAAGATCGGGGTCCTACCTCAAACTTTATAACTAAGTTATGAAGATAAATCATAAAGTAGGGGAAAAACTGATATTTTACTATTTTAAGGTCAACCTCATATATATGTTGGGTGAATTCATAATTATGATTGATGAGCTGCTGGAGAAAGTCAAATTTTGGAAAGAAAAAAAAAACTGAAGAGGATAAGCTAGGCCTCTGTATGGGAGGCTGGGTGGGGCAGAGGATCCAAACTGCAGGGTTAGAAAGAGCCGACTTGCACAATGTTTGGTCCAATAGGGAATACTAGCCATGTATACTGACTTACATTAATGCAGTTTCTCTGTTGTATTGGTTACATTTACTGCTCAAGAGCCACATGTAGCTGGTGGCCACACTTGGACAACAGAGACATAGAATATTTCCATCAATTCTTTTTGGACAGCACTGTTTCAGATCTTGGTCTTGAATGTAAAGCAGGAGTTGAAAATTGACTTCTAACTACGAAAAGCTCTAACTACAAAAACTGTTGTTTGCATCTTTTTAAACATACCCTGGGAGGTACTCAAATGTTATGATTGTTGGAAGGGTTGAGGAGGTAGGCAGCTATGACTGAATATGACTGAAAATAGAATGAAAGATTAAACTCAGTGAAAGAAGTGAACCTAGTTACTGCCTTTGAAAGGCAAGAAAAGAGTGTCAAATGAAAGGTGAAACAGACTGGGAAAGGGTATGGATTATGAGAAGAGGACAAATTCTGTTTTTTTCATATATGAATTTTAAGTCAGCTAAGACACTTAGATGGGGATGGCTTGTAGATGAGCAAGAATGCAAAGGGCTAGGTTATAAGAGTAACATGGTAAGCACTTGTTCCCAACATGGACTATTATGTCTGCATTTATTGAAATAATTCTACAGGAACATGTAAAAATCAGATATGTGCTAATTTACTTTTAAATACGCCACAAAAGAACCATGTTTTAATATGATTGTTTTATAATATTTATGGATACTATCTTACCAATTTATGAGTTTTGAAAATCTAGATACTGAATTCTTGGTTTTAAAGACCAAAAAGGAATTAACTTTAGAATGCAGTATAAAGCCTGGGTTTAAAACCTCTGACCTGGGGCCATGGAGAGGATTTTCTGCAATTACTTTTATTCTTTCCCTTTGTTGCCAGAAACCAGCTCTAAGACTATTGCAGTCATCTCGAGAGAGGCTGATTTGAAGAACAGTGGGAACGAGCAGAGTGGAGCCCTTAGCATCCTTTAGCTGGTATATGGCCATCAATTTTTTTAAAATTAAGTGAGTAATCAGCAGAAAAATAACAGCCCTCATAGAATAAAGACCATAGTCATGAAAAAAGCTAGTAACAATCTTCTGCTACTCCCATCCAACCCCAAAACCTTATTCCAACCCTAAAAATTAAAAAACTTAGAAATTACAAAACTCATCTGCTTAATATTATAAAACTTGTAAAAGCTGAGATATTTGTCCAAAACAACTACTTCATGTTTGGTGAATATAAAATTCCACATATAAATTAGTATACCTGAAAAACACAGAAGTGCTTAAAAACTTACATGTAGTTTTATATCAAACAAGTTTTTGCTATAAACTATATTAGTCCATGGTTTATTCTCTGCATACAGAAACTTAATTTCTTTAATTGAAATGCAAGAAAACTGGTAAGACAATTCTATGACCAGAGTGACTGGTAACAAAATCTGTTTAACATTAAAAGATAACCCATTCTGGAAACATTAGGCTGAAATCAACACAAGTGCAATAAACTGATAAAAGTTAACTCCCCAATAAAATTAATTTGATTTTAATGAAATTAAGATTTCACATGCAAATGATTGAAAATGTTTGAATAACCCACATCTTTCTCCTCAGGAAAGTATAATTACTTTAACATATCACAGGAATTTACATAACAGGCTAGAGAACAGAAGTAAGAGATAACAGGTGCTTCAGTACCACCCATGTTATCTACTAAGACCACAGTGTGGGCAACAGAGTGCAGATTCATGGTAGTAGTTCCTTGAATAAAACAGCTTAGACAGAATCTTCCACAAACACAGGTTTTTGCAGTATCCAAATCTTGGCAAAGATGGAAAGGAATGATAGGAGAGCCATATGGAATCCTATTGGAAAAAAATAGTTAAAAGCATTTTTTAGTATGTTACTAGACCCACAGCTTCATGTATTAGGATATGAATTGTTGGACACTGAGTTTATAACCATGGGAAAATTAAATTTCTCCACTAATTGACTCAGTATATTTTATTTTCCAAACTGGTCAGAATGGGGAAAATATAGCAAGTAAAGCATATGACATACTGTAAACCTAATAGGATCTATACCACTCCATAAAGTAACTTTTAGCACTGCCACTTAATAGCATAACCCACTGAATAGAGTGAGACATCTGCCCTTTATATAATCATACTGTATGATCAATGTAACATAATTTAAATGTATGGCTCTGTCATACACCTTTCTAATGGTAATAAGAGCATTAGTTCTACCTGTGAAGAAATGTTTATTTAAATAAATCCATATACTCCTCTAGGCATCAATTGTTCAATGGGGAATTTTTAACTGTGTAAAACAAATTTAAAATACATGTTAAAATATTAGTTTAACTTTGCTGTCCAACCAAGGCTCTTTGCATTGCTCATTCTCCCTCCTGCTTAAAACTTCCAATGGCACCCAATGCAATTCAAATCATATCAAGTCAAACTCTGCACTCTCTACAAGACACTAAGAGACAGTGTCTTGAGACTGCCTGCCCGCTGCCCAGTTCCTCCACCCTAAACATAACCACACCCCAGTCACTTTGTGTCTCCCACACAGTCTTCTTTGTTGTTTCTCTAGTCCCTAGGCTGGCACATAACAGGTGTTCAGATCTTTTCCCACAAATAAATGAAACCTACTATTACAATTTAAACCGAGTTTAAAACCCTATTAGAAAAGACTGAAAAGATACACATCAAATCAAAAATAGTGGCTTACTTTTTGTAAGGGATTTGGGAATGCCTTTGTTTGCAATTTTTCATTTTTTTCACATGAAATAATTTGTTGCTCATGTAAGTAACAATTTTTTAAAACTGTGCCAGGAAGTGTCTATCATGGTTCACATTCCAGGCTACTGGTTATAGTCTAAGGAAACAGGAAATAGTTAAAAACTGTACTTTCTAGCTAACATAATTCAAGTTCTCACATATTTTTCTAATAGACCATAACTTTATGTCTGTAACCAGTAGTTAGGACAACTTATCAACAGCTAGATAATAGGTACTAATCTATACTCTTTTTAAAACAAGGGGGCTGAAAGATGCAAAATTATACTTTAGTAGAGATTAGGGTCATCTTAGCTAATTTGTTCTGGTCTTTTCAAATCACCAGGAACCATTTATAGTATTTCTCATTTGGACATAATTTTCAAATTTGAATAGGTTACAATATATAATTTCTTTTTCATATATCAATCTCAGAGAAAGCACAGAACAAGAGACTTGGGAGAAGTTCATTATCAAAAAACACCATTTAGAGGTCCCTCAAATCAGTGGTCTTAACCTGAACAATCAGTTCTGGAGATTTAAAAAAAAAAGTATTGCATACAGTAGAGGCCCATCTTTGGAGATTCTGAACTAGTTGGTCTAAGGCAGACTCAAGGATCTGTATTACCAGAGGACCTAGGTATGTATTTCTCATCTATATTATTTAAAAACACCTCCACAACTAAAAACAACATTGATTTTTAATTGCCAGATAAGCAAATTACATTTATCTATAAGCCCAGCAAGTATGTTATGAGATCTATTATGAGCCTGGCACTGTTCTAGACACTTACATGTATTGTCATTTAACATATAACTTTTAACTCCTAGCTCAGCGCCAACACCTTAAACCACTGGTTCTCAAAGTGTGGTCCCTCGACCAGCAGCACCAGCATCACTTTGGCACTTGTTAGAAATGCAATTTCTTTAGCCAGCTCCTCTCCAAATTTACTGAATAAGAATCTGAGTGTGGGGATCAGTATCCTGCTTTAATAAGCACTCTGTGAAGTGGGGGAATACAGCTCAGTGGTGTACAAGGTCCTGGGTTCAATGCCCACTACCACCATTAAAAAATATAAATAAATACACCTAATTACCCCTAAAAATTTTTTTAAAAAAGTGCCACTTGTTGTATGTCAATTATAGCTCTCTGTGTAAAACGCAGATTTCTATCTCAGACCTCTAAAACACAGAATCTCCGACAAGACTCCCAGGTGATCTGAATGCGCATTAGAGTTTGAGAAGCACACAGTGCAATTCTAGCTAGTGGTACATTAGACTCACCTGGGGATTTAAAAAATACTGGGTCCTACTCTCATTCTGATTTAGTAAGTCTGGGGTGGAGACTAATCATCACAATTTCTTAAAGCTCCTGTGGTGACTCTAAATGTGAAGTAAAAGTTGAGAACCACTGCTTTAGAATAAGAAATGAGAGCCCTTAAGCTAGAAACAGTGAAGAAGACTGGACTGGGTTTCAGTGGGGTCTATGAACATTATAAAGTTGTATGCAAAAGTCTGTGTGTGCTCATGTGTGCATTTTTCCAGGTCCATAACTTCTGTCTGTTTCTTTTTAAGTTTCTTTTCCCACTAAACAGTTAATCTCTTCTTTGAAATATGGTGTTCCTACCATTTTATAGGCACTCAATAAATATGGTTCACATCTTAGCTTCCCCTCCTATTTGAAAGAAGCAAGAACAAAATGAATAACCGGAGTTTGGTGTCTCATGGATGACCAACAGCAGTGTCCAAAGACAAGGGAAAAAGACCAGCAGCTACTGAGTGCTACTATAGGCCAAATG